TACATACAAAATGGATATGTTCAAACTAAAAAAAAAAAATTATATTAAGAATATTCGGGGTAAACGACTTTTATTAAGCGTTTTAATTTTTGATTTGTAAATATAGTTTTCACTTAATTACAATATCATCTAAAGGAAAGAAAGTATTGCCGAATTTTAAACGATTTTTAAATTATTATAAATTATTATAATTAAAATCAAAAAAGATGAAAACAATTCTTTTAAAAATTCTTTATTCATCGAAAAAAAAAGTTCTTTCTTAAGACAATAGTGTCCTTAATATATCCTATTTCTAAAAGCAATTATAAGTGATTCTAATTAAATAACGTCACAGTTTTGTTTCATTTTTTTAGTTTATGATTCAGAGCAGATTTTCAGTAACTGGGTGTCCTGCTTGAAAAAATAATTGGATGATTTACATTCTCCAAAGAGTCTTATTTATGACCAATGAAAAAATGTTTTGAAAAAAAAAAAATTTCTCGAAATTTCATGAAATTAAATAAGCGAGGGTAATATATGTAAAAAAAAAAAAAATTACCAAATTATTAAAAAAAAACACATTTCAAAAATAATTTAATTCATTTGTGAATAAGTCTTGAAAGTTTCATTAAAATCCGACAGTTATTTGATTTTTACTAGAATTTCCAAATCATTTTGTTTTTTCACTGGCAAAAAAGCACAAAAACACTAATCAACCGCTGACGTAAAAGATTTTTAGCCAAAATTTCGAACGTGCTAGAAAGGATTAAAAAGTTTAATAAAATAATTAAAAGATACTTTGGTCTTTCCTCTTAATAATAACAAACATTTTGACGATAAAAAAATTTGTTTTTATTAAGTTTGGGGCCTTTTTCATCACATGCTATGCTGTTTTTCAGCAAAAAACTGGAGGTGCCTATATTTGTGTTTAAATCCAAAGAATGTGGCGGTTATATGTTATCTCAGTTTTGGAATTAGTGTGATAAACTAAGAAGAAATTTACCGAAATGTCGGAACAATAACAAGAAAACTAAGAAGAAAATAGAAGAATTAGGTCACCTGTTTTGGCTTATGAATGTACAGAATAGAGAAAGTACCAAATTCTCACAGGATGAACAATATTCTCTTAGACCGGTTACCACTCAAGGTCAGTCTGACCTGCTATTTAACCCAGGTGAGAAGAAACAGATTCTGTTTTTCTCAAGGGCATTTTTGTGAAAGTGAACGAAACAGATTAGCTTGAAATTTGAACTCGGTTTGCCGGTTTCAATTTCCGTATTTAGATCTGTTACACTACCTACATATCCAGGCAATAAATATATTAATGCTACATTTTTCCCACACTTTATCTGCAGCAGATAATGCATCACAGTTATAGCGCGTCTGTAAATTCGTCAGTGCCTTTCTGACAAATAATATCCGTCAATTGATTTGTACATTATAGATTTAGCTCGCAATCGTAGATAGTCTGTTCCTAAAAATAAAACCACTTTATTCTAAATATACGCGACTGAAAAATCAATGACTGCTTAAAACGATTAATGAAGAGTGGTACAGAGTGGTAACAAGAAAGAAATCGATGCATAGATTGAATAAAACCATGAATTCTGACGTCACCCCACGAAAAAATAGCACCTAAGTTTTTTGTTTTAAATTTCTTTTACAGATTTATCTGTTCGTTCCATTTGAGTATTCTGTTTTCGTCGGACCTGCGCTACTTTCTTGAGTGAGTTGATGTTTTACTATTTGTAACCAGAAACGCGTTTTTGTTTACTATGTGTAAAAAAAAGAAAAGAAAAAAAAAGAAGCTAAAATCCACTAAAATCCAAGACCTAACCGTTCGTCAATACACATTCATTGGTCATTTTGGGCAGAATTTCACAATTTCAGAACTTGTGTATCAGTAGAGAAGAGCAGCAAATGGCAAATACAAAATCAGTGACGTATCAATGAAAAGTGGCGCTCATGGCATGGCACTAAAATTTATTTCCATATCTAAACATCTGATACCCTAAAAAAGTACAAAGTAGACCTACTAAATCAAAAATACAAGTCACCGCTATTAATATATACTAGTTTTCACTATTTGAAATCATAACTATTTCCTATTTAAAACTTCCGATGAATCTTAATTATTCAGTTAATGATTGAATAAACTCATGGCGAGTTCTACACAAATAAAATATCCGTAGAAATTTCCCTATCGCATCGTTAAACATTTGAACAACAAGTTTAACAAAATATGGCAATAACAATCATAAATATGAATGCTGGTTGTTATTTTAAGAAGTAAGGAGGTACAAATGAAAAAAATCCAAATTGACAACTTTTTTTCATCTCACTGAAACAGACGTTAAACACTGCCATCTTACTTTCTTTCATTTTCTCACTGAAACCAAGTAGCGTCTTTGATATGTATTTTATCATTTCACGCGGTCAAAACGGAATAGTCCATTATTTATTAGGTATTAGTAGGAGACATTAAACACTTCTTTCTTTCTTTCTTTTGTCACTGAAAACAAGTAGCGTCTTATATATGTATTTTGTGTTTCTACGCGATAAAAATGGAATAGTTCATTATTTATGAGGTGTTGACAGGGCGTAACGGTTGTGCGAGCAAACGAAGGAAGGAACAAGCATAATTATTATATAAAAAATATAAGTCAAAACTATTAATATATATAATAAATTATGGTACTTCAACAAGAAGACCATCTTTTATTTTATGCCAAAAACTTCTCTAATCTATCGGCAATAAGAATTTATATATTGGGGACTGTTATGATATTACCTAAATGTCGTCTACGGTCAAGGCACCAGAATATTACAGAAACAGAACAATATGTCAAATCACAAAATGGGAGTAAATAATTCAGAATTAATTTAGATGTTAGTGCCCTTTCTTTACATGTCAGGTTAAGTTATAAAAAGAAGCCAGTGTCTTTTCCATATTCACAAAACCTCTCTCGTTGTTCAAAAAATTATCCACATAATTTGGCTTCCCATCAGAGCAGTTCCTTAGCCTCCAACATCACAATTGATCTTAATTTCATCAATCCAAAGCCTAATTTAACTCATCTATACTGAGCCTATCTGCTATGGTGCTTTTGTTTTTCTTTGGACAGCCAACTTTATTCTGACATCATGAATCAGGACCGGCGGGCACTACTCCGAAACCTCTCGATCGGGTAAGGGGAGCCTGATTGGGGGACCTCGGGCAGTGCTTTGTGACACTCGCTATCTTATCAACATTTGCTTTTTCTACCTATATTTATATACGTTACAAAATAAACTAAGCACAACTGACTATTAAAGAATGAAAAGTTTTTTGTGGATTTTTGATTCTGGTGTCTTTTTTTTTCATCGGTGAATTTGTTTCGCTCAAGTCAAATCTCGAAAAAAACATATAAAATTCACTATTTTTGATCCATAATATTAAATGTGTTAAATTATTCAACTTCTTAACAAGAAAAATCTCAGAGTTGATGTTAACGCAAAACATTGTTGATGTATTTAAGATTGAATAATCTATTATGATATATCTCTAATTTGTAAATACATTGTATTTATTTTCAATGTTTCTCGTTGAATTGATCACCTATATTGTACATGATTGATTACTGTACATAATTAGGTTATAATAAAATGTGTATTTTATATGAATACTAACTTATAAGAATTGAGATGTAGGGGACGTATCATAGATTGGTGGTAGGAGAGACCCTTGCACTGGCCCTGCCATGAATGCTCGACTCCAACTAAAAAGTCATTCATTTCTGCACGCTGCGATTACGTAATTCTTAAGTTGTTTTGAATTTAATTATACTATCCTAAGCTTGCTAATATCTGGGTTATTCACTCTGCTTTAGCTATGCTATTTGTGATTAATTATTTCTAATTTCTATTGATAGTCACCTTTGGCGTTGGGTGATATTTATAGTGGGGATCCAAGATTAATATTCAAGGTGATGATAGATATTCTGTTACCCTTGAGTCCCCTAATTTGATAAAGTGTGACGATTAAGAAAATCGCTCAGCATCCACCATAGTCTTTCATCGTTAGTCTGAAGAGTATTCATGAGCGTTCTTAAATTTAAACATTTTTACAGAGTCGAATCCTCGGGACATGGAATATTAAAACGTTAAACCACTATGGCCAGTTGGAAATATAGAGAGGAGGCGACTAGGTTAAATATCAACATTTTAGGGGCATGTGAAACTAGGTGGCGAAACAACGGAGATTTTGTCAATGACAAACACAGGATTATATATGCAGGCAGAGAGAAAAATGAAAAAGGAGTTGGATATTAGACCAAGACACCAAGAAAATGCATTCTGGGATACTGTCATTTATCTGAAATAATTCTTGTTGTTAAGCTGAAAGGAAAGCTTTTCAACATATCCATTATAATTGTGTATGCACCGACAGCAAAAATCACGGAAGAAGAAACCGAAACTTTCATGGGAGACCTGAATGCTAGAGGGATGAAGAAATAGTTGGCTAATTCGGACTAGGAACCCGTAACGAACGCAGAGAAAAATGGGTCCAATGGTGCACGGCGAATGACCAGGTAATATCCAACACCTGGTTCCAAGAACACCCAACACGAATATGGACATGGAGAAGCCGAGGAGGAGAGAGGAAAAACCAAATCGACTACATAGCTATCAACAAAAGATTCAGAAATGCAGTTGTACACTGCAAAACCTATTCCAAGTGCCGACTGTGGAAGCGATCACCTCCCTGTTATATGTAAACTTAGGCTGAAACTACAGAAACTGAAGAGGCATAACGCAGCGACCAAATTGCGATACAACAAACACTTCAACGAACCGAACCTGAAGGAGAATTTATATGGACAGTGGGAAAAGAAGGTAAGAGGGACAGAATGGAAATGGTAACTCGAAGTGGGACACCCTAAGAGAAGCTTTAGTGACATCAGCAAACGAGATCATCGCAAAGGAAAATAGACGATAAAACGAATCGATTACAAATGAGATTCTCAACATGATACAAGGCAGACAGAAAACAATGCCAAGACAAGGAACGGAATATAGAAAACTATACAAAGAAATAAGGATCAAATGCAGACAGGCTAAAGAGGAATGACTTAACGAAAAATGTACAGAAATAGAAAAAAATGAGTATCACGGATATGCACAAAAAATAAGAGAACAGGACAAAAGATATGTTCATCAACAGGCTGCATAAAATCCAACGACGGAACGCTGATATTAGATAAAGAAAAATACTTCAGAGATGGAACGAATATATTAGAGAACTCTTCCACGATGAAAGAGAACAACTGGCAATACACAGATATATTGACGGTCCAGAAATATTAAAAACCGAAGTGGAAGCATCACTGGCCAAATTGAACAGAAACAAAGCGGCAGGGCCAGAGCGAATTGTAATAGAGATAGTGGCAGCCTTAATTGATTTCGGTATAGACAAGATAACAGAAAGAATAAATGAAATCTACAATAGTGGGGACATATTGGAAGACCTAAACAGATCTCTTTTCATAGTACTGCCTGAGAAACCATACTTATGAGCCAAATAACAAAACTTATCATCTGAATTCTGATGAATGGAGCGCTCAGCAAAATTTGACCAGAGATAGGACAAGAACAATGCGAATTCGTCAAAGACACCGGGTCAAGGAATGCGATATTCATCTTCAGATTATTATTAGAAAGAGCAATACAAATGCAGAAGGACGTGTACTTTTGTTTTATATATTATGCAAAGGTGTTCGATAATTCACGCTACAAAGAACTGTTAGAGCTGCTCAGCGACATTGATATATTCGGGAAAGACATTAGAATAATCAAGAATCTATACTGGCAGTAAACCACTTGCATACGGACAGAAAATGAGTTCAACAGATATACAAAAATAAAAAGTGGTGTATGTTTTCTCATTGGATTTATGCTACCTATACAGTAAGGCAATTCTGAGAGAATTAGAAGTCCTACCAGGATTCATTACTGGCGGCCACAATGTTAACAATATGTCACAGTGTTGATAGCAGACATTGAAAGGGAACTACAAAAGCTCCTGCAGAAAGTAGCGAAGGAAAGCGAGAAGAAAGGACTTATAAACTACAAGAAGACAGAATGCATGTTTATCAGCAAAAGGATGAGCCCAAAATGCAAATTGCAAATCGGATATACTAAAATCAAGCAAGTACAGAAATTTAAATATCTGGAATGTGCGACATTGGGATTCGAAGAAGTATTGGGATGGCCAAAGATGCATTCCAAAATCTAAGCAGAGTATTAAGAGACAGAAAAACTTCATGAGAAACAAAGAGTAATGAACTATTACATGATGTCTGTCCTCCTAAATGGCAACGAATGGTGGACAGTCTCCTCAAAGGTGAAGAAGAGACTTGAAGCAATAGAAATGTGGTTCTACAGAAAGATGCTGAGGATACCATGGACCGAACATATGAGCAACAACGAGGTTTGGGAGAGAATGGAAACAAAAAAGAAACATAATTAACAAAACCTAATACTCACAGGACAGATTGAGGGAAAGAAGGACAGAGGAAAGCAGCGCGTAACGTACTTGATGAGCATGAGTAAATGGATGGTAGAGCAAGGTTTGGGAGAGATAACAAAAATACAAAACTTATTAAACGTTATTAAAGACAGGAAGATGTGGAGGGCCATGATCACCTACACTCCGAAGGGAAACGGCACATAATAAAGATATACGGTAAATAACAATAAAAAACTTTCATATATAAACAAACATAAAAGATGTGCACTATATCTGTTGCTAGGAAAATTGGTTCACTGAATCATGCTATATAATTTTTTCGACAGTATCTATCATACACATTGAAGTTGACCATTGGTCTGTGCTTGAATATTATAGTCACATCGTGTCTGGTGTCTCTGTTATGTATTTAGAGATTCTTGATAAAATCAAAAGAAGAATCTGCAATGTTATCGGTCCTGACCTGGAATCTCAGCTTCCTGTCATTTTCTCACTGTCATAACGTAGTGACTTTTCTGTTACCTCAAGTCTCTTCTTCAGTTGTGAGGAGATTGTCCAGCATTCATTGATGTAGATACTTGGGAATATCAGGTGCTGTAAGCTTCGATGTGTAACAGATGTAATGGATAATGGCTTGAAATTGTCAATCGAAGAGCCGAGTTCCAATTCCCGTTGGGTTCGTTATATTCACTTACGAGCAAATACCTTTGAGAAATGTATGAATCGACCTCTTATCTCCCAGTAATTAGTAAGACTTTTATCACTAAATTACTATTATCTAAAAAATTCTTATAAACTAAAACAAAAAGCAATTTTCTGCAAAGGGTTGATAAGCCGTAGAAAACGAATCAATCAGTCAATCATTGCCATAGAGGAGGACTGAGATTACATAACATTTTATTACTCTTTTCTTTGTTTGTAATGAATTTCCATGTTTCTCAATACTTTGCTTAGCTTTTGGAAGGCATCTTTCGCTCTCATAATGCTACTTCGTATTTTGGTGTCACATATTCCGTTCTCTGTTAAAACAGTTTCTAGACATTTAAATGATCGTACTTGCTTGATTTTAGCATCTCCAATTCGTATTTCGTTGATAACCATACATCCTATTTTCTTACAAATGAGAGTTAGTCCTTTCTTCTCCCTTTCTGTTATTCCCTTGTCTAAGAGTTCTTCTTGTTACTTTTCTGTGTCTGCTATTTAAACTGTGTCACCTGCATATGTTATTTTGTTAAGATTGTGTCCGCCAATAATAAATCCTGGTAGGACTTCTACTTCTGTCAAGCTCGACTCATTATAAAAGTTGAATAAATTTGGTGAGAAAACATTCTTGCCTTACAACCTTTTCAATGTACTGAATTAATTTTATATACGGTTTGTTCTGGTTTATTCTAATTTTTTTCCCCAATAAATCAAGTTTTCCTTGCAGTTCATACAGTTCTTTGTCTCGTACCTTATTAAAGGCTTTTGTATAATCTATAAAACATAGGTAGACATCATTTTGTATATGTATTGCTCTGTCCGATGTCATGAGCTTAAATATTGCATTCATTGTTTCAATATCTTTCACAATATTTCTTGTTATAACCAAAAAAAAAAATGACAATTCAAGGGGAATAACTCACCTTAATTTATTTATACAACAGATATTACCGTAAAACCTTTTATGAATTTAAATTTTTCAGATTATAAATACATACATAAAATGCAACATTGCGATAAAAAATAGTGAATAAAAATGATTACGTTACAACGATAAAATAAAATATTAAATTTAATGATTCGTATTCAAGATCTACTTCAGAAAGAGGGAAAGAACATGTGAGTTTTTTTTCCAGTGAAGTTTACCGTGTACAAGGCCAGAGGACCACTCGAGGTAGAGGGTTACAGTAAAAGGCAGTTTATGCGGATAGGAAAGGAAGATAACGGTTAACACTAGACTTGAACAGGTTAAGATTGTAATGATCTTGGAAATATCCTCTTGAGAGTCAGTTCTACAGAGTAGTGGTTCGTGGGAAGAAGCTGTTCGAGTGGAACTCACTTCTCACCAATGGAATAAAGATAGAATGTAGGTGGTTTGTTACAATATGAATGGCATAGCGGGTCATGACCATGATGGTTAGAACTGGCGTAACCAAGGAATGCAATACGTCTGAGAACTTTCCATGGAAGTAACGATAGAGCAGGGAGAGACTTGCCATATCCCGCCACTGAGAGAGAGAGGTTGGAAGGTGGAAAATAATTTGTCACTTACACGCTTTTACAAGAGATGCTTTTGGATTCTATCGAGACTGGAAAGTGAGGGTTGGGCAGCTCCCAACCAAATATGAAAACAGTACTCCATTTTAGGCAAAGGTAGTGGATAGCACGAGGAGTCAGGTACCTACTGGAGTGGTACACGGAACCGAGCATTTTTCTTGCATCTTTAGCGATGGATCATATGTATTAGTCTACATTCGGTCAGGAGTGAGTAATAGTCTCTCAAGGCATGTAGCCCCCCTTAGGTTTGGTTTTCGAGGCATTGTATATAACCAGTTAGTTTTTTCCGCACTGAGCAGTTAGAGCAAGATCGGATGAGAGATCAGCCGCCAATCTCTGAGCATCTTAGGTTTTGGAGGTGCATCGATATATCATCGTATCATGAGCATAGACATTTACAAATGATCTCAGTATATTCTTAGGTAGATCTTTTATGTAAGGTAAAAAAGAAGGTTGGTCTGAGAAGTGACTCCTGGGGGACGCCTGCGTTGATTGTTAGAGCCCCGAAGGACTGGTCGTTAACAATTAGCTTCAGCGACTTACCGTTCCTTCCAGCGTTTCCAAAGCTGGAGATTTGTCACACCATGTCAAAGGCCTTCGAAATATCTAATGTTATGGTCCTTGAAGTGTATTTGTCGTCAAGAGCCTCACTAGTTCTGTGAGCAATGCTTGTTAGGACATCAGCAGTGGATTGGGCCGTTCGAAACCTGTACTGCTCGTTACTGAAGAAGTTGTTATCTAGGTGATCAGCGAGTTTGTTGATTATAGCCTTAAAAAGCTTACTAAGCATACTGAGGTGACTGATGGGCCTATATTGAGAGGGGGGAAGAGCACTCGTCCACGTTCTTGAATATCAGGCATACGTTTAACACTTACTACGGGTTTGGGAAGGATTTCTCCTTCAAGCAACGGTTAGATAACTTCGCTAAGATCGGGATAATTCCGGGTTGATGTTCTTAAGGGCAACCACTGGGATTTTGTCTGGTTCAGTGTCTTCCGGTGTAGCTTGTTGTAGGAAATTGCCATTTAATAGCAGCAGTGGCGAAATAACATAATTATATAGAAATTTAACACCGGATTAACGCAAAGAGCATGCCGTTGATAATTAGTTCGCAATCCTTCTGTGATGGCCTCAAATGACCTGTATAACTTGCTGTTTAAATATTTGATGGGTATATTATGGGGATAATGATGATTATTGCTATTTTTTTATTATTAATTTCAGGTTATGCGAAGATCTCTTTGTTCATTTAGCATCTCAGATTAAAGGCGCCAAAAAGAAGAAACTGATGTGGAGGTGGGTATACACTTTTATATTTATGTGTTCTTTTAGGACGTGTTCATTGTTGTAACTGCACATCACAAAACTGAGAATAATATCAAACAGAAAGACACCCTTAACAAGATTAGAAAGTAAAAAATTATGAAATCATTTAGAAAAAAACTATTTCACTCCAAGCAAGGCGACAATGCAACTAAGACGCAATGGGTTACTAAGAGTTAAAAGAGAATGAGAAGACTTTAGTTAAAAGTACGGAGAATAAAAGAACAGGTTCAGGAAGTCAGAAGATTGCGATTGACTTTGCATTTAAATTTCTGAAGATTATAGGTGGCAGGGGAGCAAGAAATCGGAAGAGACTTCCACAAGTGAGAAGTGCGAGAAAAGAAACTACAATTTTGTCATCACGTCATTATATAAAGTTGGCTCAAGTAATGCAACACATGAGTTTATATATATATATATATATATATATATATATATATATATATATATATATATATATATATATAAAATAATTTTTTTACATACAGACAAAAACAATTACTCACGACAAAGATGCATTGTTGTTTCGATGGATCAGTCATAACCATCTTTGACTCTCACCCATCGAGAAGCTCCTCTGTATCGAAACAAAAATGCATCTTTGTCGTGTCTAATTGTTTTTGTCCGTATGTAAAAATTTTATAATAAATAACTACTGCTCTACTCCTGGTATTGAGCCCTCTTTTGAATTAATGCTGTGTACGTTTGAATTCATATTCTTTTCGTTCTTATTTTATTTAGCTATATATATATATATATATATATATATATATATATATATATATATATTATTATACATTTTATACTTTTATACTTGCTGGTACATTTATACTGCAAACAATATTTGTCGGACTCATGTGAGTCCGGGTAAAAATGTAATTCACACAAACAACAATTGATAAATGTATTAACAAAACATGTTACAGAAGGGTAAAATACGAAATGAGGTTAAAGTTGTGAGACTTCAAACCAATGTGCAGTATTTATGTCTTTGAAGTAGCTAAATACCTCGAGTCTATTGGAGCCAGAGACAACGTGTCTTGTTGCTTCGCAAGTAAAAGGGAATATATATATATATATATATATATATATATATATATATATATAATTATTTATTTAAAAATATGATTCCAACTCGCGACATAAGAGGTCTCATGTTTCAAAACAAGAGCCGAAAACTTCAATATAATTATTTGAATTAAATTGAATTAAAGTAAGCTCTGTTCCATCTTCAAGCGAAATTTTTTTTGAATAACTTATTTCTGAAATTTACGTGTTTTAATAGTATATTCATAATTGAAATAAAAATTTCCATGGTAACAGCCAGGGCGGATTGTTTAAAATAGGTAGGAGTGTGTTGGGTGTTAATAATAAGTATCAGTATAGAGTTACTTTCATAGATGTCAAGTCAGGGTAAGGTGGGCGTGTCTAAATTTGAAACGGAAGATGTTTTCGCCTAGTCTGGTTTACGTGTCTATGGAGATTTATTTATTTTTTTATTTTATTTCCTTATGAAAGGGATTTGTGCATATAAAAACTGCCGTAACATTTGTTTTTAGACGACTTCATAAAGAGTTATCATTTTTTTTTCTAAAAAAAAAAATTTCGTTTTTTTCGTTCTAGCTGTTCCAGCATAACCGAATACATGATTTTAAACTGGTTTGGTGTCACAATGTATTCCTTTATGAAGGTAAAATACTTTTTAAGATAATTTTGATTAATACTAATAATGCTGATCTTATTGTTATGAATAATTTAAGCTGAAATTATTACTATAATAGTAGAAGTAGAAAAATATAATTCGATGAGTAGGAGGTTTCACAGAAAAATTAAAAAAAAAAGTCGGAAAATTTGAAGGGAAATAACTAGCATTACAATTTTTTACAAGTAATCTCCCTTGTTGCTAAATCTGAATAAAGGAAGTTGTTGAATTAAAAAAAAAATAGATACGTAATTATTATGTTTAAAAAATCAGGTTAGTTTTACCTACCTTATTTTATTGTTGATTTATTGATACTTTTAAAAAAATAATATTTCACACTGCCAGCAAACAACAATTTTATTTGTAATTATATGAATAGTTCTCGATGTAAAATATAAAAGAATATATACAGGGTACACTCCAAATACTTTTACGAACTTTGGGGCGGGTTTCTGACACTAAAGCAAGGACAAAATTTGGATAGATAGGGGGGGGACTGGTTCCATGGCCTGTACGTTCGTCCGATCGCAATCCTTTGGATTTTTATCTGTGAGGCCATCTAAAACAATTATTTTATGCAGCAGACATTAATAATGCAGAGACACTTTATCAATGTGTCATGGGGGCCTGCGAAACCGTTCGACACCGTGTGGGAGTTTTCGAAAGGTTAGGCCAGTCAATGTTCCGTTGGGTGCATGAGTGTGTAGAAGCAGACGGAGGACATTTTAAACATTTTGTATGAGTTGCTGTGTTGAGGTACAAAGATAGCCATTTGGACATATGTTTATATGGTTATTTTACCTTGTTTTGATGTCAGGAACCCGCCCCCAAAGTCTGTAGAAGTATTTTGGATTGTATCTTGGATTGTATATTTAACAGCATCCACCGTAAACTTTAAACTTAATGACTCAAAGGATTTGCGGACATATGTTTATAAGGACTTGTCCTTGTTTTGGTGTGAGGAACCCTCCCCCAAAGTTTGTAAAAGTATTTTTGATACACCCTGTATAAACAGATCTCATGTAAGAAATATATATGTGAAACGATATTCAAATATTGCTGCCATTCCGAGATTTAAAGTTTCATATAGCTTCCCAGTTTGTGACACGGATGTCTCACAATATTCAGATGGTTCAAGAGACAAGATACTCAATTCTATATTTAGCTTACTCAATTCTATATGGAAAATTGAGCATGCTAAATATATTTAGAATTAAGTAATTTAAAAAAAAATCCATATATCTGTTGTGTAGAAAGACTGTCTAACCTTATGTACATTATTATTGAAACAGACTCGTACATCCGCTATGAGTAGAACGTCTACACATGAAACAATGGCAAAAAAGTTGGTTGCTAAGTCGTAATGTTTTCATTCATACTGTACTACTGTATTCTCAATTCGTGTCTCATGTAATTAAACCTTTCTTCATTCAACCCTTTGTTTCCAGTGTTTTCCTTACATTCTTATTAACCAGTGACTACTATACGAAATTTATAACACTATCTATCTATCTATCTATCTATCTATCTATCTATCTATCTATCTATCTATCTATCTTAAAAACGACTGACAACGTACTGTGGTTAAGTTTTGTATTTGATTTTTTATGTTATTTTCCTTTTCTAGACGTAAATTATATAAAAAATTGTCCAAATAGCGCTTTCGGCTATACTTTTAGCAATTATCAAAGATGAATTTTATTTTTTACTTTTAACTGAATGTATAGATTGTTTTATGTATGTTTGCTTTTTTTATAGGAATATTTTATTTTCTGAACACTGCCAGCACATTTTGACCGTGTTCATATTTGATATTATTGAATGTTGGATTTTCTTTATTATTAATAATGCTTCTATTATTTTTAGCCTTATTTTACATGTGGATGATGCTATTTGTATTATCAACGAGTATGCTGCGGATAGAGTTTGGTACGGCTTCATGGGTATTTAAATAAAACCTAATTGAGCTGTGGTCAGAGAGATGTAACGTGAGTCCTCTTGTAAGGCATGTTATGGTATATCCAATTTTAATTATTTACGAATTTGATTGTGTCTGGAAAATAAAACATTCCTATAACTTTAGATAATACATAAAACAATCCATAGATTCAGTTAAAAGTAAAAATAAAATTCATCTTTGATACTTTTAGTATAGCTGAAGACATATAAAACATTTGGACAATTTTATATAATTTACATCTAGAAGTGAATAACCCCACCAAAAAAAAACTATAAGATCAGATGAAAAATTAAATACAAAACTGAACAACTTGTCAGTCGTTGTTAATGAAACTTACATACACAGGGTGAGATGGGTAAATTGTTGCCAGTTTATATTCTTATTATCGCGCATTGTTTGTTATTGATTTGTCGACAGCACAGTATAGTAGGATCAATTTTTGAGAAAAGGAGCAACATGATGCAATTCACTCTGCCAGAAATTTCGAAACGACATGCTGTATTGCTTGGTATTCGCGCTGGAAGACCCAATACAAACATTTCAGAGTGTTTAGGTGTTAATCTGAGGACAGTGCAGAAGATTCAAAAAGTGTTGGATGGGTCTAAAGGTGATTACGAAAATGTTTGGAGTAATCATTAGTGATGGCGACGTTATACCTTCATTCATCTTCCCACAGGGCCTCACTTAACACAGAGGCCTATATCAAGTACCTTAAAGATTAGGTCAAGAGGGTGGCTGCTGGAAAACCCTGTGTCTGGCAACCGGACTGTGCATCATGCCATACAAGCAGGAGAACCCAGTTAATTTCTGCAACCACATCACATCTTACATCTGGCCACTTAACTCCCCAGACTGCAACTCTCTTGATTATTATGAGCAATTGAGCAAGAGACCAACAAAACTCCTTGTAACATCAAAGATGAACTGAAGGCAAGGATTATGGCAGCATTCACCAACTTAAACAAGGAGACCGTCCAGACGAGTTGCAGGAGATTCTGAAGTCGTCTGTAGAACGTGGTTGAAGCCCATGGCTATTTTAATGAATAAATTTACGCTTTAGTATTTCAAGATATTTTTGTGTAATTTTGGTAAATATATCTGTTAAAATGAGATGTCAGTATTATTTTAATTTTTGCGTAATTTAGACGACAAATTATCCAGCGCACCATATATATATATATATATATATATATATATATATATAGGGTTAGGTAAATGATATAACCAGATATTAGCGACCGTATACGCGTGTGCTGGTGTGCATACGCTGGTAAGCAAATAAATAATTACCAAATTTAGCCAAGAGGTGTAGACATAATAGTGCTCAATGTGATAGACAGAGCTAAGAAATATATGTTAATAAATACACATATACCTACGTTTGATTTGCAACTTGAATTTCGTTGGTTACCGAATTCATAATAATTTTTTATTTAAAAAAAAAAACGTATACAGATGCTCATAGGATGGACGCTGATTCATAGTTCAAAATTAAAATGCCACAAAAATAGTCTTAAAGCAATCTATATATCTATATATCTATATATCTATATCTATCTATATATCTCTCTCTATATCTATATATATATATATATATATATGAAATTAAAACTGTGTAGAGAAAATCATCTAAATCAGTAGAATTTTCATCCGTATTTATTTATTAAGAATTCTTTTATTTATGTAAACAGCGTTAATAAATACCATGGATTTGGAAAACGTCAATCGCTATAGAAGAAGGAAAACATTCAGAATTAATTTGTTAAATTTTCCCAATGTTTATCTTTCTGCTAAGAATATTCCTAGTACACGTATATTATATAATGATGATTTTGTGATTTTAATAGAAAATAATCTCGACATTTCTTGTAGTTTTAGTTGACGTAAATTTGATTCCTTTTCTACACTCTACTTATTGTTTGTTTTATTGTAACTTTAGAGGTCTTTTTTTTTCTTTCTTTTAGGAAAATATTGGCGATATACTCTACTTTTTTATTTATGACTTAAAGAGTCATTTGGAGAAAATGCCAATTGATGAAGTTACGGGAAACGCTTATCAATATCTGTTTGAAAAATATCGACTGAAGATGAACACAAAATATGAAGAAATTGTAAGTTTGTATGATATTAAAAATATAGAATAGTACAATGGTTAGTGAATCAGAAAGAGAAATTGGTGAGTCGAATTCGAATTCCGACCGAGTTTGTTATATCTGTCTATATTTCTGAGATGAGGTATTGTAACTATTCACAATGTTCAGATTGTTGTCTTCATCTTTGTTGTGATATTAACGACGTTTCGGCCGCTGTACGCTCCAGCCTTCTTCAGGTGATTGCAATTTTGAACCGAACCCTTTCAGTCATTTCGCTTTAGTAACTCGACTCTCCAAGTTTTTGATCACCAGTGCTGTGGCCAGGTATTGAACTCACAACTCTTTGGGTCAAGTCGCTGGATTTTACTTCAACCAACACTTTTATCCACCGCGCCATGTGTCACCATGGCTCAATGGATAAACTGAAACTGGAAGAGGCATGACACGTGGAGCTAGAACAATCTCCCCCCATATAATAAAGGTTTCCGTTCAAAATTCCAATCACCTGTAAAAGGTCTGAGCGTACAACGGCCGAAACGTCGAGAATACAACAACAAAGTGAGGACAACAGTCTGAACAATGTAAATAGTGTAAACGCGTTTGTTATGTTCACTTTCGAACAAATACACCTGGGAAAGATATGACTCCATTTTTTCTCCCTCCGCTCACGTTATGAGTTTAATAGCAGAGCTGACTGTGCTTATCTTGCATTGAGGTGGCAACCAGTCTAGGAAAAATGAAAACTCTGAATTCTGAAACCAGTTTGAAGAAGGGACGGGCTGAATCAGGCAATCTTGCCCGACAAATCACTTCTGCTATGGTATCAGTTTATGGGAGAGCCCTTACGACCGATGATGTGACGGGAAAATAGAGACGGTAAACTGAGTTGTGATTCACAAATGTTTTTCGACAACTTTTCACCTCGGAAAGAAATTCAATTCAATCAAATGTAACAGTAAATGTCTAATATTATTTTGCAGCAAATTCAAGCTCAAATGGGAAGAGAGATAGAAATGGTGTCCGTTTTCACCTGTGACTCCATTGTACAATTGAAAAAGAAATGCATAGCTGCATTCTACCGGGGACAGACAGCCTCAGAAATTCCAGATATTGATGATGTCTGTGTTGGTAAGTGTTGATCACGTGTATCCAGTGTCCAGACCCTTGTTATTTCATTGAAGTAACACTGATGCAGGTAGCCTAAGAGAAAATTCATACAAAGGCTTTCTTTTAATACCTTGCCCAAAAGGTCCTGTAGTTTTCCCTCTGTGTCTGCTATCAACACCACTGTGTTGATAGCAGACACTTCATTAACTTCATTAATGTATCTTCTAGTGTGAAGGTTGCCCCTATAATAAATCCTGGTAGGATCGCAAGTTCTCTTTGGATAGCCTCACTTTAGAGGCTGAATAAATGCGTCGAGAAGACACATTATTGTTTTATTTCCTTTTCTATTTTTATTTATCTACTCAATTCATCATCTGTGCGTATGCAAGCGGTTTGCTCCTAGTACATGTTCTGGATTATTCTAACATCTTTCCCAAACAGATAAAGTTTTCCTTGCAGTTCAAATAGATTTTTGTGTCGTACCATATCAAATGTTTTTGCTTAGTCTAATAGAACAAAAAAAAATCTCTTTATATTTGTTCATGGTTGCGTAATACTTAACAAGGCTGGTCAGCATTATTATTGAACCCTCTTCCATGCATAGTAAGTTGGAGTGAAGGTCAACTAACATTTTTTTTCAATTTATTTTTACCAACTATATCCAATTATTACAGCCCCTGCAACTTGAAGCTTCTATACGTCATGTTAACCCCCCCACCACCGACTATTGTATTAAAATAGAAGATTCTAGCAGGACCAACTTATTTTTCCCGCCACCAAATTAAGAATTTGTATGAAATTTCTAACTTCTAGTTATTAGATAATAATAGGTGCTGGAGAGTAATGAATTCGCTATTTATTGGGTATATAATAACAATACTTTGCCAAAAGTCACTTTGTTAGAGGTTTTAATTCAGTTTGGTTTGGTGTATTTTGTTTTACGGTATATCAACTTCAATGGGTTATTTTAATTTAGTGATTTTTAGGATAGGTTCGTATGAATAGAATATATATTCTTTGTAAGAAATAAGTTTGTAGATCAGGTTTCATTGAGTTATTTTTGTAAAGAGGATTTCGTCGAGAGTCAAATGTATTGCTAGTAATATATTTTTTTCAAAAATGTATTGCTGGTAATTTTTTCAAAAAAATTTTGCTCGTAATTTTTTTTTCAAAAATGTATTGCTGGTAATATTAAAAAAGTGTATTACTGGTATTTTTACTATAAAAATCTATTTTTATATTTTCATAGTATTTTGAACCCAGTTCGAGGTTAAACTATTTGCCCATAACAGGTGCTACCATCCCGGTTTTAATTCGACCATTTTAATTCAAGCGTTAAGCGGGAGATTTTGATTCAACTTTGCGAAAGTCGTATTAAAAATCTCCTGCGTAACGCACAGCGCCTCGCTACAAGAAGTCTGTAAATTACCGTATTTCCTTGTGTATAATACGAAAAATTTTGAATGAATACACACATACTTACACACACACACACACACACACATATATATATATATATATATATATATATATATATTAAAACTTTCCTACTTGTTCCTTGGTGAAAAGGTTGATTTCACCTGAATTTATCTGTTCCAGGTTGTTCAGACACTAGTTCTTCAGGAATTACTGTAATGGAATGCTTTAAAAATAATGAAAGCTAAATTATGATTTTATATATATTTTAACAGGAAATGGCGTTTGCTGAGCGCTTTGTCCTCATTTCAGCTCCCGCCGTCAGATTGTGAACATCCTGTATCGGTTTTAGCTATGATTCATTTACAATAATGTATAAATAGTTTTTCATTCATTTACAATAATGTATAAATAGTTTTTCATTCATTTACAATAATGTATAAATAGTTTTTCATTCATTTACAATAATGTATAAATAGATTTTTGATGAATGGATTTTGAAATACTTTATGAAATTTTTTTTTCATGTTTTAGAGTACAACGGAATTAGAATTGAAGAATTCAAGGAGGAAAACAGCACGAACTTTACACAGCACCTGACAATAGATAACTGGAATATTCAAGAAGATGATTTGTTAAAACTTACCATTTCCAAGGTGCCTCAAGTAACAGAAGCGAACGCCGATGACAGATGTATGTATATAATAAAAAATGATTGAAGTAATTAATAACTTCATTTCAGGTACTGTTTATTTATAGTTTAATACATCTATATTGTATTATATAAACTTATTCAGTTTTTCCTCTCTAATAATCTACTTTCTTTTGCACAAATATAGTTTCTGTATTCTACGTAAAAGCGATACCTTTCTCCAAAGTAAAGTTTTAAAGTGTTAAAATCTATTAGAAATACTTCTTAAAAGCAATATACAACTCTATCTATCTATCTATCTATCTATCTATCTATCTATCTATCTATCTATCTATCTATCTATCTATCTATCTATCTATGTAACGAGATAGCTAGCAACGTAAATATCTGCAATTGCTGTGAATAGACTTAGATATCAAGATAGATAGATAGATAGATATAAACGATGATAAAAATCATGCATAGTAAGGTGTTTCAATAAATCTGGAACGGAGCTGAATTTTGATAGGAAATTTTCACTCTATGTAGTTAATACTGGTTATTAAATTGAGAAAAGAGTTTATATTAAATAATACATATTTCGTGTGAAAAATAAATGCTACAATAAATACATTAAGTATTGAATATTGCTGCAACTGTATAGATATATAGATAGATATATAGATATGAGCAGACTGAGATAGATAGATAGATAGATAGATAGATAGATATGAGCAGACTGAGATAGATAGATAGATAGATAGATAGATAGATAGATAGATAGATAGATATGAGCAGACTGACATAGATAGATAGATAGATAGATAGATAGATAGATAAATATGAGCAGACTGACATAGATAGATAGATAGATATGAGCAGACTGAGATTGATAGATAGATAGATAGATAGATAGATAGATAGATAGATAGATAGATAGATAGATAGATATGAGTAGACTGAGATAAATATATATGTTTGGTTTGGTATGTTTCGTTTATCTGCATAACGACTTTTATGTGATTTATTTAATTCCGGAATTATTTGGTATTTGGAATAAAAGATTGGAATATGATTCAGAAGAAGCAAAAAGAGAAAAACTCTAGGGGTTAAGACACAGTTTGTGTAGAAAATGTAACGAGTAGTGTAGGAAAATAATATCTTAAGATTTTGAGATTATATTCCCATGTAAAATCTGGCTTTTTTCAGGAATTGGATCGTTTTAGGTGATTTAAATTCTTTTAAGTTGTTTACTTGATAATATTGCGTTCGGATTGTGTTTCGACCTCTACAATTCGCTAGAATGTGTTTCCCTGTATATTGTTCTTGACATGCATTGACGATTATTCATTTTTCAGCAGGTGATTATGTGTAATTTAAGTGTGGCCTATGAAGAGGCTGACTAAGGCAACCTCCTCCGTCTTATCTTTTTGTATCAATAGTTACCACTTTCCAATGATGGATAGATATAAAAACACCGAGAGAGATAGGTATGAACAGAGATAGATAGATAACAATAGACTGCGTTTAACAGATACCTCAACTGGATATAACGTAACAGGTAGTAACAAATATTATGGAAATGAATGACTATAGCTTTTACGGCGCCTGTAGAAGTGTTTTTAGTCAACAAGCAATTGTATTTCAGTACAGATTTAATTGAATAAATTGGCCATAGATTGTGTAATGGGTCAGTATAAACCAGTTCCTTTGTTTATAGAATATTTAAATTGCGTGAATCATAAAATCAGCTTTCAAACGAAGTACAGACTGTACAAATCGCTGGTAGTCTCCATTCTTCTATATGGATGTGAAACGTGGACACTGTTGGCAGAATCAGAGAGAAGGATCCAAGCGTTTGAGAACGAATGCATGAGAAAACGGAATGATATCTTCTGTTGAGAACATAAAGCCAATGAGTTTGTGCAGAAAAGGATTGAAAGTTTTGTGGGACACCAGGAACTTCTCGCCACTATCAAACGTAGAAAATGACGTGGTTTGGACACGTTACACGGCACAACAGCCTGTGCAAGACCGTCATGCAAGGCACCGTTGAAGGTGGTCGTAGGAGAGAACGCCAACGCAAAAACTGATTGGACAATGGCAAACAATGGACAAGTATGACTATATCAGAATTGCTGATGGCTGTCTTTGATCGACCGTTGTAGAGGAGATTCAATATGGCTTCTGCATTCAGATCCCTCCTACGATTACAAAAGTCAAGGGGATGATCATGATTCATAAAATTCTGAACTGAAGCTCTTATTTTATCCACGTGGGTAGATTGTTCTCGTTCCGCTATAGAGATACATCAACTAGTTCTTATTTAGTTCTGCTTAGTTATTGCTCTTTCCGTTTCCACTGAGTCCAAATACACATTGTCCGGACTAGGAATTGAACTCACAATTACTATGTCACCAAATTTATGAACACACGTGTTAATCCACTTGTGTATTGTCAGTTGGAAATTCCCTGAAAGTCACTCGGATCAACAAGCACCTAATGAAGGCCGGAGGATAAAACATCCGAAATATTGTGATAATAACAACAACAACAACAACAAAGTTGAGGACAATAGTCCGCTTGTAAATGATGTAAACAATAAGAACTCCTCATCCTTAATTATTATTAAAAAATTCTTCCTTACACTTGCCATGATTTATTATTAGCAATCTTAATCTTTGTCGACATTATTCATATAATATTACTTTAATTGTGCTTGTTCCTCCCTACGTTAGTTCACACTACCATTACGCCCTGCCGATAAATAATGATCTATTCTCTTTTGATCGCGTGGATAGAGGGGAAAAGACACTACCTGGTTTCAGTGGAAAAATGAATGAAAGAAAGAAAGAAGTGAAGTTAGAAGTGTTTAACGATTGTTTCAGTGAAATGGAAAAAAATTGTCTATTTAAAATCTTTTCATTTGTACCCACTTCTTAAAATAACAACCAGAATTTATATTTAGGATTGTTATTGCAATATTTTGTTAAAGCTGTTAAGCTCAAATATTTAACGATGTGATAGAGGAATTTCTATGAATATTTTATTGTAGAATTCGCTGGGAGTTTACTCAATCATTAACTTAAGAATTAAGATTCATCAGAATATTAAAATAAGAAAACCATGAAATTTTGACGGCTTAAAACTAGTTTATATAATTTAGCAAACATCTGTCGATTCTATAGGAATCATTGGTATTTGGAAGTCAAGACTAGTGATTTAAATCACATGGTGAATCTTTTTTATATGCAAATGATTTTCTATAACTACAGATGTCATGGTATATGCATTTTTACATTATCATCTGTTTTTAATTTGTTCTTATTTTAGATGTAACACTTGGAGCGTCAGTTGATCGAATAACAACAAAATCAAAGAGAAAGTTCATACATTTAGTAAGTCAATTTTCAGACGTTTTCATTCTGTTATTGCCGGATTCTTTTTTTAAGCGCATCATTAAAAGAATTTAATTTTCTATAAGCCCGATTATTTGCTACTTTTCGCCTGGCCATGCCTTTCTTTCTTATAGAGTTGACAAAAATAGAAACATTATTTAAAAAACAAACAAAAAAAAAATCAAACAAATTGTGAAAGTTGCTAACAGCATTTCATGGCAATATAGTGTGGAAAGTAACTTCATTAAACAAAATGTTCAAAATGTGTAGAAAGATTTTTAACAACTGAAAAAGTTGATATATAAAATTTGTAATAAATATCCTTGTTGAATGTTCAATGACTATGAAAGAATGTTTGCTATGGATCTTTTAATAAAGTCGTTCATTTGTTACAAAAGTTTTGTAAAGTTTAAAAAAGTTCCATGTATGCGTAAAATATTGAAAAGAACAGGCTGTTTCTTGAGAGGGAAAAGGAACAGAACAATCGCGCTGTAGGCATCGTTATTGATTGAAGGGATATAATCAGGGGGTTTGTATATTTGTGTGAGATTTACAATCGACTACTAAGCTTTTAGATTATTTTTCGCTGTTGTTTTAAGGAATTTCGTTGGTTGAAAAATGTTTGAGTCTTATGTCAGCTAGTTTTTCATTGGCTGCAGAATGTGTGTTAGTGAAAAGGATTGTGATGCATAATAATGTGTATGAAAATGAGCGTTAAAATGAATTCTTAGCAAAAACAAGCAGATTTTTTTTTAATGATTATACACAAAATGTGTTTCCGAAGCTAAAACAAATTATTCAAACGCTTTCTTTTTAAACATTAAGTAACAATTATTTTAAAAATTTTATTTATTATTTTTAAAATGCGTATCGGAGGCTAAGGTGCAAATTATTTAGACATTTTCTTTTAAAACTTGGGGGAACCATGAAAGCCATCTAGTAGTTAGCACTGTTAGATTGGAATCTCTAGATAGCTAGTCTAAGAGTTGGGAAATTTAGAGTTTAAATCTTTACTAACTTGGGCATAACTCCAAGAAAAGAGAAGTCTAAGGAGTAAAACGTACACAAATTCAAAATGTAGCCACGAAGCCAGATGGATGACATACTCTGTCATCTTCCGGCAATTTACGGGCAACGCTGAGAGAGGGATCTTGACGTATGGTCAGCCCAAGATTTCTATAGAGTCTGTTTTATAGTGTTCTGTGTCCAGAAACAGACGGCCACCAACGCATTTGTTTATTATGATCAGTAACTTGTTGTTTTCTATTCATGAAATGGTATTCTAGAAATAATTTCTACTGACAATATTTGTCTTTCTTGTAAAGAAAAATTAAAATGATAATTATTAGATGTTTAGGAATAAGAAAAAAATATGCTAATGGCTACAGAGAACAAACGCTAAATATATTTGAAGAGTATTTTAACTAAAACCGAATACATCTTCAGAAATATCGATCTCGAATATCAACGACATTACTAAACCGAAGACATTATTTTTTAATCACTATTTGTGCTTTGAAAATTAATTTTTTATGATTGTAAATAAATCGTAGATTATGTTATTCAAATGATATTTACAGATTAATGCAAACTTTTAAAAAAAGTATACACGTTTAAACTGTAATTTGTGAAGGTATAGATGTTATAGGGCTAGGACGATAGTTATAGGGCTAGGACGAAAGTTATAGGGATAGGACGATAGTTATAGGGATAGAACAAGAGTTATAGGGATAGAACGACAGTTAGAGTTATCCAATATATAACACATTTCATCGTAAGAAAAAATTAGAATCTTTAAATTTTTTATCGATCAACGAAAATAACCAACTTTTCTTTCTTGAAATTAAACTTCAGTTTTAGGGTAAATCAGTTGATGATCGCTGCCTGCTAATCAAAAGACTGTGAACGTTACATTATCTTGAAGGTCATTATTTTTAGATGAAACACTGTCAATTCTTGTTAATTTGTCTCGCCCAGCGTTTTCCCCATCTGTAATATTTATTAACGATAGAGGAATGATCCTTCTGGGTAAATACGATAAGAAGCAACTGAAATTAAGATGAACTAATTATCAACTTCCTGGGACCCAACCCCCTTTCCAATGAAAAACATTCTAGGCTCTTTTTTGTTTGTTGAAATATATCTTGTTTTTCTTTTATAAAAGCTGTACTATTCTTGCACAAAGATGGCCAATTATATGTACTCCATGTCCCTACCATATTCTTACAGCTTTAGTTAGCTAAGTGGTTTTGAATTCAGTGTTCTCCGTCTCCTAGACTTGACTGAGGCTAGATAACCCAATCTGTCTTGGTATTGGAAGAATTGATGGATTCATAATTTTCTCAAGGCTATTTAGGCGAATGAAACGAATTCACCCTGAATTCGAACTCCGCTCGCCGATTTCTCGTCTCGAATCAATAGTCATATTACTATATAACCATATAACTACCTGCGCACCCAAATACTAATTAAAAATGAATAATAAAGATAAAGCTTCATCAAATAATAAAATGCAATATAATATTACTACTAATACTAGGAGTATAAATATTACTACTAATACTAGGAGTATAAATATTACTACTAATACTAGGAGTATAAATAAAAACAATAACATTACATATGGTACGAAGCGAGTAAGTTAGATTTGATCGCCTGCCATTGTTAGTTCCTGTAGCTCAAACAGTAGAGAAGCTGTTGTACATAGACAGGCTTCTGGGGTAAAAATGGATGCGAGCTCGAATCTCGCTTAGATCTTCTTCTTTGTTTTCGATCCTTAGTGTTTAGTAGTTGGAGGCATGATAGCGTCTCGGATTGAGGAATCGGAGAGTTGAGTTCAAAATTCAATTTTCATTGCATTCAGTTACGTGCTAATACGCTTAGGAAAGGTATGAATCCATCTCTTCCCTCCAGCTATGGATAAAAGCAGCACAGGCTAGGCTCTAAAGCTTTGGTTGGCAACCAGTCTAGGAGAATGACAACTCTGAATTCAGACCACCTGCTGCCTTGTAGGTCTGCCTCTCTAACTTCTGAGTGGAGGGACGGGGTAAGCTCACCCCCACCCATGCAAAAGAAACCGGCAAGAAATTGCACTAATCTCCCTTGAATGTCACCATGAACCACAATTGTGAGATGGAGCGGAGTGGTGACCACAGCGGCGCAAAGTGCACTAACTGAATAAATGATGACTGTTGAGTAACGGTCGGAGAATGACGACCTGTATAGGATCCGATGAAAAGCAACGGCCACTGAAATAAATATTAGTAAAATCGATAATAATATTGATTGTGAGCATTACTATTTCTTTGTTATATTACAAAATACGTCATCTTTTCATCTTGAGCTAAGTTAAAAAATAGTCTATACAAATGTTAAATATTTTCACCAATGGAGTTTATCCTTGATTTTATAACTATAAAATTAAAAGCATTACTTAAGGTAGGATTGAACTCACACTGTCTGCTTTGTTAGATAAATGCTTGGTATAATTAAATCCCCTTTGGATTTAACGACATATCATCATATATTATTGTGTTATTTTATATGAAACTTTGTATGTGACTACTAATAGTTAACCAGACTAACCTCACTAACAGCGACCCACACGCCGAGACGCCAATAAGAATAGTGTATTTGTGTATTGAAGGGATTTGATCGAAGTTAATTTTCAGAAAGAGTTAATTATTTACAGCAATTAAAATATTTCCTTTTTTTTTAAAAGGAAGAACCGCTGAACCAGAAGACGGAACAACCTTTAACAGTAAGTATCGTTACAATTGCTAACATAATACCCGTAAAAAACAACCGAATTATTTACACACAGGCTATGAAACACGATCTCTTTAACATTCGATGGACACACGCAGACATACGAATTAAGACAAAAATTGTTTAGTCCCCGTGACCATGGTTACGTTGGCGTCGGTAACCACCAATCCTACTTCTTCAGAGCAATGAAAGAGGTACTGTCACAGGCTTGGAATAACCGGGACCGGTTACAGTACCGAGTATTACCAATCGCTCACTCATCTAGGTAGTGACCAGGCTCGACTTCGATGATCGTACGAGAAACGATGTTTCAACATGATATAGCCGTAAGCACACTAATCAAGTATTGTATATTATTTGAAAAGAATGTTTTATCTGACATTATTACTTATTACTGTAAACGTTATTTTTTTAAAAAGTTTTTCCCTAATAAAGCTTCTTAATCTAGACCAGTTGTTATTAATTTCACTGTTTAAGAAGATTAAAGAAGATTAAAAATAAACAGAGATAGCAACTCAAATACATGCACCCACTAACAATTAACGTTTATAGCAATAAGATATCTATCTATCTATCTATCTATCTATCTATCTATCTATCTATCTACTAGCAACATGACCTGGCGTTGCCCGTGCTTGATTAAAAAATCGTACGACTCATACAGCAATCGCTATCACTTGACTTAAAATATTTTTGCCCTTCCTTGCCTTTAAAGGAGTGCCCTTTTCCGTGCTGATGTTGCTACATGCCTTACTTCTTGCCTATCTCACACTGCGAAATTTTTCTAAGCCCTATACTAAACATTAAATCTGTTACGAAAAACGAACTAAATAAAATGAACACAAAATGATCAGCTTTAAAAAAGGACTGGTAACTGGAAAACCGAATGAAAAAAGAATGTTAACAACAAATACTTTTTCACACCCAACCCAGTTCTGCGGAATCAGAATCAACGTTGAGTTTAAGCAAGCGAATGAGCCAATTGGAGTAAAGTGCCATGCAGATTTAAATTTTTCCCACTTGTGACGAATGCAGCTATCGATTTTTTTTTCATGCTAGTTAACATACGTGTCAGTCAGCTGTTGGCTCTCACGCTGGCCAATAGAATCTTCCTGCCTATTCGTGGCAGCCAGTTATAAGCTCTCACTCTGGCCATTACAAAATAGCCGCAAACTACATGAAAACTGCCGTAGAAGCATGAAAAAATCGATTATTTCCGCTATCGATGGGAGTTGGGAAATGCAAAGTAGGTCTTGGCCTTCCCACTAACTTGGAGCATGTGCATGTAAATTTTGGTGCAAATCCGTCGAAAATTGCGGCCGTGTATTCGTTACACACACACACACACACACACACACACACACACACACACACACACACACACACATCCTGTCTTATATATATATATATATATAGGTAATAATCCGTTGGTAAATAATCCAAGTGAATCCTAATAATATAAAATATTAAAACTAATCCATAAAAAGAGCTAAATGTATTTATTATAACATACAATAAAAGTCTAAAGTTACCCCATATTTCGACCCATAAGACCACTAAGGGGTCGAAATAGCTATTCGAATGAGGTAACTTTGGATTTTTGTTCTATGTTATATATATATATATATATATATATATATATATATATATATATATATATATATAATATCAATTTAAACGTTATTTTAGTGGTTACCCATATTTTAGTAGACGCAACGTTTATTCATTAAACAGTCTATTTATTTATTTTCGTCTACCCACCGGAATATTCAAAATAGTCTTATTAAAGAAAATTATATGCTCTCCGTTTAACGTTTAAAGAGACAAATTCTGTCGTATTAATAAATAAAAAAAAACATTGTAAATTATTTTCAGATAGAATGTACCCGTAAAGGAAGAAAATGAATAAAAAGACATGAAGAAAAACTATTCATGAACAGTTTTCCTCACGTCTTTTATTCACACACACACACACACACACACACACATACATACATATATATATATATTGGGTAAACGTGTTTGCGTTGCTATCCTTTTTTTATTTAATTAAACAGTAAAATTAATAACAATCTGCTTAAATTGAAAAGTCTTATAAAAGAAAACAATGCCTCCGACAGGAATCGAACCTGCATCCTTTTTTGACCATCAGGAAAACCACTGTAACCTAGTCTGACAGGGCAAGGTTTAGTAGGGCCTATTATTATTAATTTGACTGCTTAAAAATAAAAAGAAAGTATAGTAACTCAAATAATAAATAATAAACATAAATAAATTTGAAAGGCTGATTGCTATTAGTTTTACTGCTTAAGAAAATTAAAAAAAAAAACCAAAACAGGTATAGCAATTCAAATAAGTACACCTACTAACAATTAACGTTTATAGCAATTGGATATGATTTTTAGAATGTTAAACCACAAATAAAATGAGATAAGAAAATTTAATTTTAGTCGATTTGTTAAAAAGTTGACTTTTACCGTTGAGAGGTTGTCAAATAATTTTTATTTTTGTCTATTTGAAACCCTAGAGGTAATAACTGGAAAAACCTGATCCTTCGTTTTTTATGGACCTTGTCCCTTCAGGCATCACTCGATAACTCTTACGATTATGCACCATTCATTTGCTAGATTTAACAGTGAAATGGCACAAAATCTCCTACAGTCCCACTCATAATGTCACATAGTTTAGCAGCTTTTGAATGATGTTAAACCCTCAAGGAAAGTCTTTTTTTTCTGTGTCGTGTCTCTTCAGGACGTAGATGATCATGGTTCTCCACAACTCCCTATCCTTTCTAGCTTTTAGTAAGTTTTTCTTTCACCATCACTCTTACTCTCTGTTCCACTATCCATTTACACAAACTTTTTTAGGTTACTCGCTGCTTTCCTCTGTCCCTCTTGCTTTCAATATGTCCTTTGAGTGTCAAATTCTCCACGCCCTCTTTCCTCATTATGTGCCATCGAAATGTCAACTGCCTTTTTAAAATTAAATCTATGCGTTATTTTATTCCCATTTTTCTTTAGAATTTCCTTGTTACTTGCATGTCACGTCCATGGAATTCTCAGCATCCTTATGTAGAACCACATCTCAGTGACCTCAAAACTTTTCATCTATGAGGAATTGTTCAGCATTGACATAGGAGGAATGATATTACATAACATTTCAGCATTCGGTTTTTGTTTCTTATGAAATAATTTGTTAAAAAAAAATTGCAGCTACTCTCCATTATTTCAGCTCCAAGACACCGTTTCTAGACACTGCAGATATACTCCAAAATAATATGCTGCCTTCTGTTTATCTTATTTTTGCGTGTAGAATATGGATTTGAAGAAAATAAATCTGCCAGCAAATCTGGAGCATAAATTGTTGCAGTTTACACGTAAATTCCTGGACAGCAAAAAATTATCTGCTCCACACCGTTGTCTTTATAATCTATTCAAGAAAGCAGCTAAGAAAACCGGAGAAGAAAAAACATGGATGATGAACGCGTAAGTAACTTGACTTTGTTTGTTGTTCGCCATCAATGTGTTTTGAAAATTTTATTTTTCTTAAACATTTAACTAGTAATTGCTATTTGAATTTTCTGAAGTTATTGTCTGGATATACTCCTTGCGAATTATACGACTGTAAAATACCCGCGAAAATTATACTATTGCATCGTTAAATATTTGAGCATAACAACTTTAACAAAATACTGTAATAATATTTATAAATATGAATGCAGGTTATTATTTAAAGAAGTAAAAGAGTACAAATAAAATAATTTAGAAGAGATAAGTTTTTTTATTTCATAGAATCAGTCGTTAAATACACGAGAACGTTACTTTTCTTTCTTTCTTTCTTTCTTTCTTTCTTTTAAATCAAACAGTGTCTCTGATATGTCTTTTCCGTCTTCCATCGCGATCAAAATGGAATAGCCAATTATTTCTAAGATATTGGTAGGGCGTAACTTAACTAACTATGGAACTAATTGACCTATAAATAGTGGCAGAAGCGATCGATTTATACCTTTCCCAAGGGTATTTACGCGTAAGTAAATATAATAAACCAATCTGAAATTGAAACTCGAGTCTCTAATTAACAATCCCAAGCCATTATCCATTACACCAGCCGCGCATCAAAACTTATAGCACCTGGTATTCCCAAGCGGTCAGCCACCTAGATAGTGACCCGACTCGATGTTGCTTAACATCAGCGGTATTTCAATGTGATGTGGTCGAATTAAGGAACAAGTCGAATTATAAAATGATGAAGCAAATGAGAAAAGAATAGGAAAAAATCAATACCAAAACAATTTTTTAATTTGAAGAAAAACAACTTGCCCTTTCTATTTCTCTTTATTGAATATATATATATATATATATATATATATATATATTTATATATATATATATATATATATATATATATATATTATAATTTTATGCATACCGCAATTCCCCATGTGTAATACGCATTTTTTTTCTAAAAAATAATAAGCAAAATCAAGGGTGCGTATTATGCACAGCTACAAAAAATCTTTAAAAATTGCCGTAAAATAAAATAAGAATTATCATAAAACTAAATTAGAATATTATTATTCTATGCTTAAAATCATTTTTTTAAATTGTAGAGCAATATATTATTATTATTTTTATTTTAAGAGTTTATAATAAAAACATGTTTAATCGCTACATAAAAACTTTCATGTTTCAATACTTTGATTGTACCTCTTCAGACGATGGTAATTAACTGGTGATTAAATGATTTTTTAAGGAAATTTAAAAACAAATTTACTTACCATCATCCGAAAAAGTACAATCAAAGTATTTAAACCTGAACGCTTTTGAAACTCAATCAGCTACGAGAGTCTTGCATTATCAGCAGTAATAGTGACTACAATTTCGTACATTGCTCCTCACAGTGCTCGACCGATTAAATTATTTTATTGAGAGCTAATATCGTCATCTATAGACTGTTTCGCTATATGACAGCTCATCAGTGTGGCTAGACATCCGATCGCTTCAATTCGTTGTATTTTCAATCATGTTTTTGCTTAACGGTATATCAAATCCTTATGGGTTATTTAATGACAAAATGTAATTTTCTTGGGAGCTTTGAAGTAATAATAAATATGATCTGCTTTCACAATTGAATACATAGTAGGTGTACCCAGCTTTTGTACATAATGCATTGTTGATAATTTTAATATAAATATGTATTATTTGTATTTTTATATTTTCATAGTGTTTTGTTTTTGTTTGTGCCCATAGCTGGGACCCTAACAGGTGCTACCACCCAGAATCAGGGCCTGGGAACAACAGTAATTAAGAGGTGGTTCCACGCTTCTCAAAACCTCCTGATCAGAGGCTTTGCTGCCGGATGTAGTTTATCGTCATACTCAGGACTATTCTTATCAATAACTTGTCCAAAGTTCTCATTTTTGTTCAAGTAATCTCGATAAAGAATGGTGACTGAATATCGCTCAGTGGGTCGGTCTGAGTTCAGTCTGAAGTCGGACGACCGGCTGACCGGTTGAACTCTGCCTTCGGGCGGGGAGGAACCCGAACGAGGCTACGCCGAAATATGCTAGTTCTATCGCTGATATTGTGCGCTTTCCAATAAATATCGCGCATATAATATATAAATAATATATATATATATATATATATATATATATATATATATATGTTTGTGTATTTAGGCAGCAATGCTTCTTTCATGCACATTTCATGCATACTCACTCTACACCTTTCTGACTATAGCTCAATTAGATCTCATTTAAATATTCATGGAGACCTACCGGACACTATTCGTAACATACTTGTTGACAACACTAATATAATAGCATCATCTACATGCCAAGAAAGGCTAAAAATAATGGAAGACTTATTAATAAAAGCAAAAAAAGCAACACTTAATAATATTAACTTTGAACATGGACACAATATCTTGATCGTGTTTTGAAAAATGAAAACATTTTATAAAACATACATACAACAAACAATTTCTTATTTTAACAGTTAAAAAATAATCCTTGAAAATGCCTAAATGTATAGTCGAAAGCGCTCGGATAAAAAGAACATTCGGGCAGTTTTTATATAATTTATCATCCGAAAAGAAAAAAAATATTAGATCGCATGAGAATTGTATAAAAAACTAAATAAAAGCCCCTTGTCTGTCGTTTTCAATGAAATGTGCATATATATATATATATACACACACACACACACACACACACACACATATATATATATATATATATATATATTAGGGGAAAGAAGTATGATAAAGTGAAAAAGTTTTCCTGTGACGTGTTTCGTCCTTTATGTTGATGCGATTACGAACGAAAGGGAGACGCTGAGAATTTTAAATTAAAAAAATGTATTTTTCATATGTGTTTTAGGCATATAATCTTGCCGATTACATTTAAATTCTTTTTATTATTGTTTACGTTTCCACTACTTTTGTTATTAAATATTCCACACTATGATAATAATTGAATGGTGAAACGTTATAAGAACCTGGACGCAAATTTACTGTGGATGACCTAGTGATTAAAGCACTTTTTAAACATATTCAACTTAGCAATTTTTTCTCTTTTAATTAAAGTAGCACTTTGCGATACTTATTTCCCCTAAAATTGTTCTTGATAAACATTATCCATAAAAAATTTAAAGAAAAAAAAAACATTTAAAGGGAAATAACCCAAATGTTTTCCATAACTAGTGCAAGGGAGGTAACTAAAGATTTTATTTTATAATACTATTGTATTATTGTCAAAAGCAATAGGATCTCCCGCTTAAGGACAGTTCATTTCCAACTCGAGAAGTTGAAGCAGAAAATTGACCCTGGTCATCTATTCCAAGGTTATGAACCAATGACAAAGAGGCTCAAGTCAAGACACCGCTTTTTACACTCAGCCGAACTACTGAACAAAATAGGTCGTAGTGATCGTCTGTCCTTGTGATGCAGCCACCTTAACAACGTGGAACACAGGCTTTCTCTCAGCTCTACAGACCCCCCCCCCCACTTGCTCCAATGATGCCTGCTTCTTCTGGTCCTGTCTGAATCGTCTCCGAATAACTGTTTGTCGCTGCTGAATCAACCTTCAAAAATGGGGATATGCCACTGATGATGATCCCAACAGGCAATCACAGAATATGGAACATCTTTTAGTTTGCCCTAGTCTTGGAAATCTATGCGCATTTAACGACATTGAAACCATAACACTCCAGGCAAGGCTCTGTGCGCAACGCTGGGTGGGTGTGATATAGTGACACGATAAGAAGGCATACATCGTTTCGTGTCTATCTTAAAAATGTTTTTGATAGTCTTTGAAATAATTTGGAGTATATGTTCCAAAAGAGAATGCTAAATGTGTTGCCCAATTAGTGGCTGATGTAGTGATGCAATTGTTACTAATACTAGAGGTCGGCTTTCGAGCCAAAGTAAATATCAGAATTTTAGATACTTAATTTTGTAGGTGAGCAAACTCACTCTTGGAAGATTGGCGTAAGGAAATGGCTCTTCTACTGTAATTACTAAATACCGAAAATGATTTGAAAATTCTCTTATGATACAATATTCTGATTTTTTTTGCGATTTTTCACCTAATTCAAAGACTAAGAGCCCCTCAAGGTAGAGGATAACTGAATGAGGTTGTTTTATGGACGTCAGAAGAGAAAGTAAGAAGTGCAGATTATGAGGATATGTAGAATATATGACAGTTGACCCAAGTCCTGTAAGTAAATATGGATAGACGGAGCCGTTCGGAATCTGTCGCGGTTGTGCTAGAAACGAAGTCACGAGTAAGCGTGGATGAGATTTTGAGCATACTAGTCTTATTATAAAAAATGAAGGCTTGAACTGCGAATGGCTGAACTAATGGAATCAAGGAATGTAGTTCGCCCGAACACCTATCATAAAAATAGCGATAGGGTAACAAAAGTCCAGCAGACCATTTTTCTAGCGTCTTTACCTATGGATCGTATATGTGAATTCCACTTGAGGTCTGGTGTGAAAGTGAGTGCCAATAGACATCCCAGGCAAGAAGCCTCATTAAGAGTGCAGCCATTCATCATGACTGGAAAAAACTCAGGGTGTGCTCTGTGATGATGACATGTTACTAGTTTGGTTTTGTGGATACTGGATGTGGCAAGCCAGTTCCTCTCTCCTTGAGCTGTGTGAGCTCGGTCAGAGAAGAGATCAGCTGCTAGCTTCTGGTTATCTCGGTTTTTGGTGGTGCTCCCATAAACTAAATCCAACCTCAAATCATCACATAGAAAGAAACATTATTAAACGAAGATTTATGAATAGACAAAAAGATACAATTATATTGTTACGGAGCCTGTGATTATATCATATTTATATATTTACATTGGTATTCAAAGAAGGGTCTGTAATCGAGCTTGACTTGGCATCTCGACTTCAGCCACTTTCTCACCGACGTGACGTGGCCTCCCTCAGTCTGTTCTACAAATATTTTCATGCCAATTGTTCTGGTCATTTTTTCCTTTTTGGCGCCGCAACTGCATGAATTTAAGCGTGCTACTTGATTGGCAATTAGGTCTCATTGTTTTACAGTTGAACTAGCAAGATGCAACCGTATGTCCTATTCTAATAGTTTATTTACTCGCACTTATCACCTGCGGAACTTCCTTCGAATTTTTTTGTTACTTGTCACCTACAGTGGACTATGATAAGTTTTTAGCCACCTTTGATTACAGTAATTTTGGCTTGTTTAATAAAGTCTCTTCTTTTTTTTTAGACAATACCATGTTAGTATCAAGCAACTCTAATTTATGAACAATAGTTGACTTATGTCTTGCAATGAAAGTTCGAAAGGAAATTTGTGAATTTCAACAAGGGTAAATAATAGGATGGCATCAGTGTTAAATAGAGAAATCGCTATATTTTTCCAGGTTAATTATCAAACAGTCAAGAGATTTAATGAAGAAGGCCATTGTCGTGTGGAACAACCTTCAGGAAGACTAAGCTTCATGTCTGAGCGAACGAAAAAGGCACTGTATAGGGAAGTCATCAGAGCATCAAAGATGTCGCCAACAGCATGGAAATGTCGCCATATGCGGTGAGAAAGACTCTGAAATAGCTAGGCTATCAAAGAAGAGTTGCAAGAAAGAAGCCCTTGATTTCAGAGGTTAACAAGAACAGGCGTATGGACTGGGCGAGAGAATTAGAGAGTAAAGATTATGAATTTTGGCAGTCTGTAATTTGGACAGATGAAAGTAATTTCTGTCAGTATTCGAATTCGAGATAGGTTCATGTTTGGAGAAATCAGAATGAGACTTAGAACACTGAATGTCTGCAGCTGATCGTGAAACAGGGAGGGATTGGAGTAATGGTGTGGGGCGCTGTCTGGTTTGGAGGAAAATCTGAGCTGATTTTTGTTGACGAGCGGCTGAATGGTCCAAAACACTGTCAAATATTAGAGAAAGGACTACTCCCACTATTTGAAACCAATAAAATTGACAAGAATGTTTACCATTTTCAAGATGGAGCACCATGTCATACGAGCAAAGTAGCAAATGGCTGGAAGGAATCGCAAGGAATCAAGTCACTGCCATGGGTAGACCAAAGTCTTGATATGAATCCAATAAAACACGTTTGGGAGTACCTTGACGATAACTTGAGAGCGTGCAACCAAAATCAAGTCAGTGGCAACTCTTAAAGAAACAAAGTTATGGCAAATTATGGATCAGACGATTGTTGATAACTTGATCAAATCCATGAAAAATCAAATACAAGCACTGAAATTAGCAAATGGAGGACTTACGCCATACCAGTTCCAAATACTGTTTATTTATGTTGAATAGGGATTACGTAATTAAATTTTGAAATTGGATGTAGTTCATTTCTCCTGGCTAAAAACTTTTCTTACGCCACTGTACAACCTTCAGGAATTTAAATGCAGCCCCAATCGCTATCTTCCGACTTCCTGAGCCTTGTTTTTTTTATTGTCCTTTCTCCTCATTAAGGTCTTCTCATTCTCTTTCACTCCCAGTAACCCCTTGCATTCTATTGGTATTATCCTTTTGCTTGGCGTGAAATGATTAAAAAAAGAATTTATTTTCAGTTGTTGCATGCAGTTTTGCTGCCAGTTCATTGCCGAACCGAATATTCTGTTGGATATCAACCTGGAATTGTTCATGAAGAAAAATCTTGAAGGTATAAAGAATTACGCAGTTTCCACCATGGAAAGTTGTTTGGTGAGTAATGATAAACTTTAAATCTTTAAGTATATTTTTATCACCAAAAAAAAAAAAAAAATAAAAAAAAATAAAAAAACGTTATTAGATACTTTATGAATCTAGGTCTCAGCATATCATTAAATCCTGTGTAACAGCATAAAATGTGACGGACAACAAAGAGATTTAAGGTTTGGTCTTTCCTGAAGATCGCTTTCTAGTTTCTTGGTGCGAAGCAAGTTCCTTCTCAGTATAGAAAACCGTGTCATCTAGCGGTTAAATCCACAAAATATGGAATTGGAGAACCGAACTGAGTTTCAGACTTCAACAAATAGCATTCGTGTTACTTCCCTTGCCCACCGATTGCGCTTAAGCATGAAACAGAATGTCACCGCTGAATGTTGCCTTCAATGTCCACTTTTATATTTACACACGCTCTATGATATTGAACACTGCATTCCATAAATATAGCATATCTTAAAATATATTAAAAAAAAAGAAAATATATATCAAATGCTTTATTTGACGAAAAATATTCACTAATTAAGATTTTAATTCTTAATAAATTACTTTTATTCGGTTATAAAAAAAAAGTTATGTTTCTCTGGTGCTGAGTTGTCGCGGTTCTGGGTTGTCCCGGCGCAGAGTCAGCGGTGTTGAGTTGCCCTTCTCGCTCATCAGTACTGGAAAGAGCGATAACGGCTAGGACTTGAGAAACCTACGTCCCTGAAAAATTGTTTGAATAGAAAGATTTTATAAATTTTAACCGAAAGTAGCACTGGTTGCTCGGTCATTGAGCACCGAATGTTTCCTTGTAAGGAAACGGCAAATATTTCCATTACCATTACCGACATTTGTGACCCCTTTGTGATCCCTGACATCATATTTGATATAATATTGAAAAACGCATTTAAGGGCTAAACATCATATAAGTCAGGTTCCTTAGTCGTATACATTGCGGTGGTACTATTAAATCATATATCGACCAGTAAATAACCTTGATAATTTTGGGGTTTGACTTTTATGAAAAAAATAGATATAAATATAAAAATGCAGGCACAATCTGATTCTTTTTTACTTTTCATGATAGAAGTTGACGAAGAAAGAGTTTTCAATCGCATGACATTCCATGGAATAGACATAAAAAGTGGAAATTGTTTTACTTTATTCCAGAAGGATCAATGCAAAGACCTGGAATTAAGCAGAAACATTAAAAACTTTCTTTCTGGGTTCTCAGAAGTAAAAGATGACGTACAAGAACAGATGTCGACTCTTCAAAGCATTTCGAATGTAAGTACGTTTTTATCTACTACCAATGTTAAATCCAGCACCATTCTCTCCTGTTAACTTTTAGAGATGGTCGTCCAATCTAAATACTTCATCAGAGCACACGGATCATCACACACACACACACACACACACACACACACACACACACACACACACACACACACACACACACACACACACACACATATTTAAATATTATCTTTGAGGTGCAAAATTTTGTTATGGTCATTAAAACAGACATATCTTTTGAAGAGCAAGGAATAAAGCAAGAAGAAATGATTATAATTACCTTCAACAGCAAATCGAAAAGAATGAAAGAGAAAGATTGAAGAAAACAAATGAATAGTTTTCATTCATCATTCTTTTTCTCTGCCAGACCTAGGCATAACGATAAACTACATTCAGCAGCAAGGCTTCTGATAGGGAGATTGGAAGTTTGGAGGAGCGGGGAACCACCTTTTAATTGCTGCTGTACACCCTGACCCGGGTTGGCAGCACCTATTATGGTCCCAGCTAGGGTAAATGGTGAACCCCCAAACAAAAACAAAACACTATAAAAGTATAAAAATACCTATTTATAAGAAAATAACTAACAATATATATTTATAGAAAAATAAATAACAATATATCTATTTATTGCAAAATGACAAGCAATACATTTTATCTGCAGCTAAAGGCATGCAACTGCGTTCAAAATATGTAAATTTTGGCATTAATACATAGAGGTTAATAAACAAAATTCTTCCATCCAAACAACCAACATGAAAGAACACTTTCATGACAATAATTCACATAATATCCTACGATTTCTTAGAAAAAAAAAACTATATTCCAAAATATAACTTTAACAAAGCTACAACATAAAACACACATATCACCGCCTTTAGTAATTAGGTCCACACAAACATGTATATGCACAAAATATCATGTATTCAATTGTGAAAGCAGAACAACATATATAATATTTTTATTACTTCAAATCTTCCGAGAAAATTAAATTTTGGCATTAAATGACCCATAAGAATGTCGATATACCGTTAAACAAACAAAACAAACAAACTTTTTCTCTGTAGTGCTAGCGTTCTCTGTAGTGCTGGTCAGCGTTCTTTCCGCTCTTTTTACAACTCGGCAAACTAAGTTCTGGTTAATTGAGACACATATAGTAATCAGACCCAATTAAAACGGATGTTTCTAGTTAAGCAAAGCAATATATAAACATTTTAATAAGTGCATTTTTAGCTTTAGAATAAATTCGACATAGTAATGAACATTAACGCTTTTCTATTTAGTTTCATAAAAAATAAAACTTTTACTATTAAGCAAAAATTATTCAGGAAATTTTAAATGAAAAAACTGAATTTTGTATATTAAAGAATTAAGATTGATTTGGTTTGGTTTGGTTGATTTTCTTTAGCGGCATATCAACACCTCTATGGGTTATTTAATGCCGAAATCTACAGATAATTATGTATTGTCGATAATTTCTTTGTAAAAAATGAATTGCTGATATTTTTATACTTTCATAGTGTTTTGTTTTTATTTGGGGTTTGATCCTTCAAATTAGTCTTCTGTCTCTTTTGGCATTGTTCTAGAGGCTCTAATCAACTCAAAATTGGTGAAACATCTCAGCTCGTAGGGTGTTCTTTGAGAAAAACAATATGGCTTTCGATTCTCTAAATCAGCTACTGATATATTAACGATTATTGCTGAAAAATTCCGTCAAGCTCTAGATAAGAAGAGTGAAACTCGGGTTGTTGCTTTGGATGTCTAGAAGGCATTTGACAGGGTTTGGTATGCTGGTCTTCTTTACAATTTAAAGGGTAGTTCTGGACAAATTTTTGATAATCAGAAATCCCCTGATGCAATCTTTCTCATCAAATCGCGAAATGAAAGTTATCTTGATCAACCACTCTTCGAGATTTTTTTACTTTAAAAAGATCTCGAAGAGCGGGTGACACACAGAGTTCTATACTTGGATCTACTTTATCCTTAATTTTTATGAACGACCTACTCAATATGAGAAGTTCTTGATTCGGTATCTATGTTGATGACACGGTTATTTACTCCTGTCTAATAGATTGGATAAGTATGGTCAAATTGGCAGCTGATTTCAAAAAATGACCTTCAATCTCCTGTTAACTGGGGCAAGAAATGTTAAATGCTAATTTTAACACCTCTAAAACGAAACTGCCCACTTTTAATATAACCTTTTTTTGCCTTCCATCAGTATGGCTGATGCTGACCCCCAGGAGAGCGACTCATTTACTCGAGCCAACGTTTTCTACTGATATAAATTGGAACGGTTATATTGAATCAATTTCTAGATTTACTGCTAGGAAAATTGGTTCAAGTATCGTGCTAGACAATTTTTCTCGCCAGAACCTATCTTAAACCTTTATAGGTACGATTTGTCTATGCATTGCATATTGCTGTCATATCTGCCATGGTGCCTCTGTTATATATTTAGAGATTATTGACAAAATCCAAAGAAGATTCTGCAATATTATTGGTCCTGATCTGGCATCTCGGCTTCAGTCACTTCCCCACCACCGTGAAGTAGCTTCCTTATGCCTTTTCTATAAATACTTTCATGGTAATTGTTCTTTGGTACATGGACTTTACGAATTTAAGCGCAGTGAGACATGGGTGGCAAGCTGTCATCATTTTACATTTGAAATGGCTAGATGTAGTCGTAAGTTCTATGCCAATGGTTTCTTCTCTCACTTGTGGAACTCTCTTCTGGTTTCTTGCTTCCCAGTCAACTTTGCGCTTCAAAAAATTAAATGCAATGTCAATCGTCATTTTATGTCTCCTTGAATACTGTTCTTTTATTGTCCTCACTCTTTAATGATTTTTCACAGATTATTTCACTCTCAGTAACCGCTTGCGTATTAGTGGCTTTATCGCCTTGCTTGGGGTGGAATGATATAGGCTTTTTTTTTATAGTTTATCGCTATTTCTCCTTACAAATAATTCCCAGTGTCTGATAACTTAGTTGTCAACATGGCCAAATTCGTTTCTAATATCTTCTACCAGGACCTTCTGTCTCATATTTGTATGTAAATATTTTATTGCAGGCTTAACATTAAGCCTTCTTGTAGGCAACCGTTTCTAATAATGCTGACTAAGAATATTTGTTTAAGTTTTGGTCAATTAAACGAAGACAATTATTCCTTGGTTTCAAGATTCGGCTCAAAATAAGCGAATACCCCGAATAATCGGTGTCCCAATTAAACGGAATTTACCTATATATCCTACGGGAAAAATATAAGAATGTATATGTGTGTGTGTGCGTGTGAGTGTGTGTGTGTGTGTGTGTGTGTGTGTGTGCGTACATTTGCAGTCGCACAGACATGTGCATACAAGCATGTACACACAGAAAAACAGACACACACACGCATATATATATGTGTGTATACATATATATGTGTGTGTGTGTACATATATATATATATGTGTGTGTATGTACATATATATATGTGTGTGTGTACATATATATATATATATATATATATTCAAATATATATTGGTAAATATAGCAGACAACGAATGTCTGTTATGTTTGATCACGAGCCGTTCTAAACGTGTTATAATGGCTTTAGTTTCGAGAGAAAATAATGACAAAAACTGTCCAACATTTGGATATTTTTTTTTATTATGCTGTTCTTCAGTCTAAGCTTTCGGTTCGCATGAGCCATCATCAGAGTGGTTATATAGACATTACAACAGAGATGTTCACCATCAAAGATGACATCGTGTTATGCTTACATAGAAGTTTGCTATGTGACAATAACGGTCGCGGAACAGAATAAACAATATCCAAATGTTTGACAGTTTTTGTCTTTATTTTCTCCCAAAAGTAAAGCCACTATACGAAGCTTAGAACGGCTCATGATCAAACGTAATACCCATTTGTTGTCAATTATATTTAACAATATATGTCTAAATCTGCTGCCCGCCCTAAATATATATATATATATATATATATATATATATATATATATATATATATATAAGCAGATACAGGTGGACAGTAGAATGCACTTTACTTGGGTCTGCTTAGTAGCTGAGATAGTTGCATATGTCAGTTGCCTCAGTGGTCAATGTTCGAATGGCTCCATCAGCCATAGCAGTCAATTTTGAAAGTTAATTTTAAGGCGATTTGGCTTCCGCTGTTTGAGAAAATTATTCAATACAATACTCTTATATGGATTTATGTTGGAATCAGATCATCATATCTTTTATTTATTGGAAATAAACTATTTTGGTCCTTTTCCTGGTCAGAAAAGGAAAAATGTTTGGTTTTATGCAAAAAACATAAAATAAAAATGGAAAAAAGAAATGATAAAAAAGAGATCTGGAAATGTTATAAATATATACAAGACATTATTTATGACCCACAAGCAAACAGAAAAATGGCACTTGTTTTCGAACCGTAGCTAGAATGCTGCTCTTACAAGAATGCTTTTCCAATCGTTATCTTCTGACTTCTTAATTCTTGTTCTTTTATCCGTCCTTAATAATGTTTTCTTCTTCTCATATTATTTCGCACTCAGTAAACCCTAGTGTCTTAATGAGTTAGAATTAAATAATTAAAAAGACCAAAACTTAAAAAAAAAACCCATTTCCAGCGAGTTTGATTTTCAGTGGTCATCTTATATCTGTGACTTTATCTCAGACTAGGTTAATTTAAATAAATACTTAGAAGCCAAAAGAAAAATATTAACAGTTATATTCACTCTTAAGATACACCTCCGCGTAATCGTCACAATTTACCATAAACCCTATTTAAAATATATAAATCTATTTGCAGGATATCGTGAGAGACGTGAAGTTCTGTAAAGAGAATTCCTTATATTACATATTTAAATTGATGAAAAATAATTACATGCTGGTAAGTATAGATATTAAAATTTTTTTTTATTATTGTTGAAATGTTAAGCCATTTAATGAAATATTTTAATCGTTACTGTATTAACCCTTGAATAATATTCATTGGGATTTCTATATAGAAACGTATAATTATAATATTGATTCCATCTCTTTGAGATGAGCTTTTTACTCCATAGATTTATATGTGTTTGTTTGCATGGTTGGCGGAACATGGACTAGGAGAGATAGCAAAAAAAAAAAAAAAACATTAGTAAGAGGTACAAAGGACAGGAAGTTGTGGAGAGTCATGATCACCCATATCCTGAAGGGGCACGGTACATAGAAGAACGAGTTTGTATCAAGGGTTTGCAGAACAGTGATTAGGAGAGAAAGCGACAAAGATGTACAAAAGAAGGAAGATGTGGAGAGTCATGGTTGTCCACGTCCTGAAGCGACACTGCACATAGAATAAGAACGAGTTTGTGTAAATAGTTGGTAGAACAGGGATTAGCAGAGAAAGCGAAAAGATAAGCCATAATAAAAGGTACAAATAAGAGGAAGTTGTGGAGAGCCATGATCGCCCACATTCTGAAGGGACACGATACATAGCGAACTTGTGTAAATGGTTGGCAGAATAGGGATTAGGAGAGACAGCAAAAACGAAAATCTTAATAAGTGCTACAAATAAGAGGAAGTTGTGGAGAGCCATGATAGCCCACGCCCTGAAGGGACGTGGTACATAGAAGAAGAAGTTGCATAGATGATTAAGCAAAAACTTCAAGTGTAATAATATTTTGCAAAAGGTAGCTGTTCTAAAATAATTTGATCATCGGATTTAAAACAATACAAAGCGCATTATATTGCTAATTCTATATCTGTAGTTCTTTGCACTCTTTTGTTAGATATATTGAAAACCAGTCTTCAGAGTTCACTTGGGTGGGTAGGTAATCCTTATTGCAGACACCTGCTCAGGCGCTTTTGTGTTTCTTCATTGCCTATTACGCCAACCCGTAGTTTATACTGTAACTATTTACGGGAGGGAGCGTACAATCTAGCGTGATCAGAAATTATACAAGGCCAGTAAGTTCAGACGCTCAGCCATCATGACCTGTGGCTTCGGGCTAAGCACAGCCATTGGCAGCTTCCTACTACTCAGTTTTACAAGCAAAACTTGTTATGGCTTTTAGGTATTTTCCAGTGGTGCCGCTCTCTGGAATCATCTATTCAAGCAGATATTATCATGGTCACCTCCTTGAACCCGGGTATCATGGTTGGAACGTTCTAACTACTCATCTATCTATCTATCTATCTATCTATCTATTTTAGGCTATTCATATCTATCTATCTATCTATCTATCTATCTATCTATCTATCTATCTATCTTAGTATCTTTATATCTATCTACATATTCACACACACACACACAGGTGAGAATCTAAGTAACTTGTAACTACAAGAAAGAGAATCCATGAGCATTTTTTATGATTGATTATATGAAAGTTAACATGACATTTTCTGGCATGCGTTTAAATTAAACGGCTGTATATTCGCTCTGTCTATTTATCTACACGCTCAATATTTTTCTCTTTTTATGATAATCACGGTATGACTTTTGAGACGTCGTGAGCGTTGAATAGTGAAAGAAAACGTCGGTTAATATAAAGCGGCCCTTTAACCTCATGTTACCAAAACAACAGATAATTCATCTAATATGAGACTTGAGATCAACTCAATATAGAAAGTTAATGTAAAAATGGATACGATGAATGAGGAATATGATATGAATAGAAAGGGTGATGCTTTGAAGTGAAAATTATGAAGATAAGGAAAATGGAAAAGGATTTACTCTTGACTTGAAGAGGTTAATAGTCTAATGTTCAGGGAATCATCCACACAGGAGTTTATTCAACAAAGTAGAAGTTCTTTGAGAAAAAGATGAGTGGAAATGTCTCCTTATATTTGGAATACATAGGAAATGAGTGTGATTCAGCTCTATGGAAATGGCATGATATGCCCGAGCGGTAAAGTATTGAACTGGTGGAATTAAAGAATGGATCTCATTTCAACATTTGCCAAAAAAATAGCGATAGTCTAACGCCGTTGCGACTGTGGGGAAAGAGGTGGCAGAGTGGAAAATATGTCTTCCTACACAAGACTGCATAAACGATAATAAAGACTAGAATGTGAAAATTGATCAGCTCCAGCCCAGATATGGTAGTAATATTTCATATCTGTGTTGGACCTGCTAACGACCCACTTTTCATAAATAAAATAGATAGAACTCGAAAGTAATTAAAAAATAATTAAAAATAAAATTTAATTAAAAATATTAACGATAAACAATGAATGTAAAAAAATGAATTTATTATCAAATTTGTATTTACAGATAAAATCAGCCTTGATGAAAGAGGAGAAAGCTTGTCGATTGCAACTGAGCGAAAATTTTCTCAGCATTATTGAACACATTGAAATCGGACAAACGAAACGCGACGACAATTTCTTGTCTTAACACTTGGCCATTATTTTCAAGAATGTCTTTTCTTATCTTGCGATTGTTGATGAAATTAGCCGCGGAATATTTGAGATGGTTTTAAGACGAAAAAATAGCCTAAAAACAGTTACTATATATTTTTTTTAATGTTTATTAGTTTCTTGAATTTATAACTCATACATGTTTTATAATGAACTGAATTTTCATTTCGATTAATATAAGAACAGAACAATATTAGCTACAATAAATAAATAAGTAAATGGTTTAACATGATTGCTGATATTTTCTTTAGTATAACAACAGCAACAGTAATAATAATATTGATAATAATAATAATAATGTATTTCTAATTGAGGAAGCACGGTGGAGTAATTGATAGCAGCTTGGATTGAGGAATCGGAGAGCCGAGTTCGAATTCCAATCGAATCCATTACATTCACTTGCGTGCTAATACCTTACAATTGAACCTTGGTTCTATAGCCTTGGATGGCAACTGCTCTTGGAGAAGGACAACTCTGAATTCAAAACCTGCGGAGGGTCGTTTGGGAACCTTGTGGCACTCGGTGCACCAGGTCTCTGTATTCGTCCCTTCAAAAAGTGTGGATGGTCCTGCACGAAGCCTTCACCACTATAATCAAATCTCATGTGCCGGTGTCGGTTTCCTAGGGACCGATCTGCCTGACCCTCATATGTCGAATTCGACCGGAGAGTCGAGTTATATATATATAACTCGACTCTCCGGTTGAATTCGAATATATATATATATAGTGATTAAAGTAATCAATACTCGTATATTCGCACATAAGAGTCAGGATGATTTCTTTTTGGGAAAACATATTGTGTGTTGTATGAAATATGATCACTTATACAAAGACTATTACGCGTTACTACAAGTACTTTTTCTGCTTTTGATTCTTTTTCTCTTTGTTTCTTATTTTTAAAATATTCTTTTGTCATAAGAATTGTATATAATGAACATTATGCATTACAATTGAAATCATATTTTATTTTATTATTATTCACGATTTGTATATATATGCATGCATAGATACATACATATACATGCATAGATACATATATATACACACATACACACACGAATATATATATATATATATATATATATATATATATATATATATATATATATATATATATATACTACGTGTCATAAGTGTTTGCTTTAGAAATTCGCTACTTATGACCTTCGATAATATATTCTGCTTCTGGAATCATCGAGGTCGGTTGAAAAAATAAAAAATAAAAATAAAAAAAACACACACACAGACAAAAAAAAAAAAAGAAAAAATAAAACAAAAAAACAATCCCACCCAAAACTAAATAAAAACTGAGCAAAATTAACAAACGACAAAGACAAAACATATGGAAAATATATATATATATATATATATATATATATATATATATATATTGCTATAAAACAAAAACAAATTGGAATCTCTGTTGACTAGAATTCTGTTTTTTTTTTTCGTTATAAACGTGGATCTAAAGCGGTTATTTTAAAACGAGTGCTTTATGATTTTGTATTTATTTGCCTTAGCGTGTGAAGCATCCGAAATGCTGGGTCTGTGATGCTTGTGTCTACGAATTTTCATCAGAAGAAAAAAGTCTAAATTTCAAAACAGAGCGTAAAGAAACATTTCCCTGTCAATTTAGAACCAACAAAAACAAGAGAAAAATATATTATTGTAGGGCAAAATGTCAATTTCGTCTTATTACCTAATTACAACTACAGTCAGTTTTTTTTTTATTAAGGCTGTGTAAATTTCCTAGCGATCTCTTTTTTTTTTATTACGTCTGTGTAAATTTCCTAGCGATCTCTTTTTTTTTTTTTTTACGTCTGTTTAAAAGATCCCAGCGTTCTTTTTTTTTTTATTACGCCCGTGTAAAATTTCCCAGGACTCTTTTTTTAATATAAAGACTGATTATACAGTTTAAAACCGTTTTGTTTCCAACGAAAACTTTTATGAAATGCCTACAATAAAATGATAAAAATCTGTTAAAAGATATGAACTTCTTTTTTGTTATTTTTGAATCATTAAAACAATTTAATATTTTAAATACGCATTTTATTATTCTTATTCGTCACTATTTTTTTTTCTACTGAGAATGTTTTCTGTAATAAATCATTTTGAATTGATACACAAAATACGAATATGTTAATGTTGGATAAATAGTAACAGACGACTGATAAGCTGGTATAGAAATCCGAAAGCACGAAAAAATAGCGAAAGGTGCTTTATGGAAACTAAGCAAAGTATTAAGAGATAGAAAAATGCACAAAGAAACAAAGAAAAGAATGCTGAAATAACAGTTAATGCCGACAATCTTACAGATGAAAAAGAAACATGAAGCAACAATGTGGTTCTATCGACGAATACTGAGAACACTATGAACAGAGCATGTGAGTAATGAGGATATTCTAAGGAGAATGAGAAATTTAAGGAATTTTATGCTTACAATCTGAAGGAGGCAACTGAAGAATCTTAGATACTTAATGAGAAAAGAGGGCCTGGAAAATCTGACACTCACAGGACATGCCGAAAGGCAAGAGAAGCAGAGGATAAAACAACGAGAAACCTAATTAACATTTGTGCGAATAGATGGCAGAATGAGGACAAAACGGGTAGAAAAGGGTTAAAAGTTACTTAGAGAAACAAAATATAGGAGATTGTGGAGAGCCACATCGAATATAAGAATAGAAAAGAAACGAACTTTAGTTGCTTAAAACAGAACAAAGCTAACGAATTCTGCCACGGTAAATTATTCACTGGTCGTGTATAATGCTGACGAATTTTGTCACGGTAAATTATTCACCGGTCGTGTACAATGCTGACGAATTCTGCCACGGTAAATTATCCACCGAATTAATTATAATTATTAACACTGAATGTCATTACAATTAACAACTTAATTTACGCAGATGTCAAGGTGCTGATAGCAAACTCAGAAAGAAAACTTCAAGAAATCCTAGACACTGTAATAATCAAAAAAAGACGTAAAGAAAAAACTGAAACTGTAGGAAAATGTTGTTAGTGTTAAGGGACGTCGTTTGATGCTGAACCTCCCCCCCCCAAAAAAAAAAAAAAAAAAAAAAAACTAGAAGTGTTGAATTAGTTGAGAAAATAGACAAACAAAAGAGTGAAACGAGATAAAAAAATTTATTCTATCAGGAAAATGTTCGTGTAGAGCAGAGGTTCCCAAAGTGGGTTCCGAGAAACGGAAGGAGTGGCTGGGGTTTGCGGGACAAAAATTCAGTGTAATAAATGTTTAATATAACACATTATCAAGGTTAGTAAATAATTTCTAAAAAAAATAGTTGTCAACAGATTTAGATTTTTCTATAATGTTGTGATGTATCTTGTAATACTTTTCTATATCGTATATCAGTGAATAATAATTGTATCATGCTACTGTGGAATTGAAAACTAGTTATTGATTGATATACCATCTGTGTACTATGACACCACATAAATCTGAAAGGTAATTTTCGCGCCATATTGCAAAACGCTCTGGCTGTTAATTGACTCTCGTTGGTATAACTTTCCTGTATATACATTCCGGTCAATGACACAACACCAACCTACTTATGTGAAAGTGGATTTTCCTATTACACTGCCATAAAATCTCAATACCGAATCAGACTTAATCCTTCTGCTGATTTGAGAATCAAAACTTTAAAGTATAAAGATAAACATTAAAAATTATGTGACAATATGAAACAGAAGCATTGTTCCCACTGAATGTTCCAAAATATTCTGATTATTTATGAAATGAATTTCATGTTAACATTGTTCGTAATTCCGTTCCTCGTGTTACTTGTGGGAAGTATGAAAATTTTAAAAGTCATATTTTTTTTATTAAAAAATATATCAATATGTGTTATTTTTAATTGCTTTTTGAACGTACTTATCACTTATAAAAGTATATGAAAATATTTATATTATGACCAAATAAAAGTATTAGTATATATAAAATATAATTATGACCAAATAAAAGTATTAGTATATATAAAATATAATTATGACCAAATAAAAGTATTAGTATATATAAAATATAATTATGACCAAATAAATGTATTAGTATCTGGAGTTCCTCCCAACATTTCGGAACCCAGAAGGGTTCAGTGTCTGAAAAAGTTTGGGAAATTCTGGTGTAGAGAAAGTTTCGTGAATAATTCTTGAAAAGAAATGCTAATCCAAGGAATGTTTTTTTTAAGAGTCTCTGTAAAGAATGAAGGAAAAGTTGAACTTACTCTGTCGGTGAATTCGAGAATATCTAAGCCATGTGTAGCTACTACAGAGAGCGCTAATTTTAACGTCCTATCCTGATCCTGGCACGAATTAAAAGCTGTGGAAAGTCATGATCATCTTATATATCATAATATATGTTTTTCGTGATCGACCTGTTCAGAGCTGAAATAAAACCGAAATACTAAAACGTTGGAGTCTATGCCACCTGAGCCTAAAATCTAAGAAACCTAAGAAAATTGGTACAAAGCTTAATGTCCCCTTGTTTCAGAAGTCTGCGTTGCTCGTTCCTGCGAATATTCTGCAAAAGGTGCAGTCTGTTTGAAGTCGTGCTATTTGATAGAGAACTCCTGCAATGTAAGATCTCTGATTGGAAGCAAAAACCGTACAAACGACGAAGATACAGCAGCAGCAGCAGCAACAACAACAACAATAATAATAATAATAATAATAATAATAATAATGGAACATGATGAAGCTTTAAGTACCTAGGAATTAGCGAAGGAGATGGCATAGGGCACCCCAAATGAAAGAAAAAATAAGAAAAGAGCACTACAGGCGTGTACGTCTGGTACTAAATAGTGAACTAAACTCAAAAAACAGAATATCAGCCATAAACACATTGGCTGTCCCTGTGGTGCAATACAGCTTTAATGTCCTTAACTGGACCATAGCTGAAATTAAGCGAATGGACGCCAAAACGAGAAAGCTTCTCACTTGCTATCGCATGCATCATCCCAAAGCTGA